GATAGGTCTCTACCAGCTTTTCACAATGGGATGGTGTAATTTTTATCCATTCTTCCTGGAAAATTTGTTCCAATTCTGACAAGTTCATTGGGGATCGTTGATGAACTGCAACATTCAAGTCTTGCCATATATTTTCAATTAGATTCAAGTTGGGACTTTAACTGGGCCACTCCAGAACATTCACTATGTTCTTTTGAAACCACTCCAGTGTGGCTTTGGTCTTGTGTTTCGGGTCACTGTCCTGTTGAAATGTGAATTTTCGACCAAGTTTTTAGATTCTTGGTTGACACAAGTAGATTTTCCTCTGGAATTCACCTGTACTCTGCACCATCCATCTTTCCCCCAATCCTGACAAGCTTCTCAGCTCCTACTGATGAGAAGCGTCCCCATAACAGGATGCTGCCACAACCAAGCTTGACAGTTGGGATGGTGTTGACTGGATGATGTGCTGTGTTGGGCTTGCACCAGACGTAACGCTTTGAATGTAGACGAAAAAACTCAGTTTTTGTCTTGTCTGACCACAAAAACTTCTGCCACATTTCTACAGTGTCATTTACATGTTTTGTTACAAACTTCGTACAAGACTTAATATGATTCTTTTTCAGTGATGGCTTCTTTCTTACCACTCACCCATACAGGTCAGCTTTGTGTAGGGACTGGGATATTGTCGATGTATGAACACTGACTTCCATCTCAGACATGAAACTATACAAATCTTTCAAAGTTACTGTTGGCTTCACAGTGGCATCCCTAACCAGTTTCCTGCTTACCCAGCTGCTTAGTTTGGGAGGGCGGCCTGATCTGGGTAGTAACTGGGTGGTATGAAGCACATTCCACTTCTTAATGGTGGACTTCACCGTACTCAAAGGGATAATCAGTGACTTTGAAATTTTCTTGTAACCTTCTGCTGACCTGTTCTTCTCTACCACTTCATTCCTTGACTTGTTTGGAAAGCTCCTTGGTCTTCATGGTTGGTTTGTCGTATCACTATGTGAGTTGTGATTTGAACAGATGTATTTAATCTGAAGGCAAGTTAAAACGATTTGATTACAACAGACAGAGACCATCATACTAATTTTGTGACCTTTCAAGCTAATCTTTTGCACCTGTGATGATTTTGAGTTGCCGTAGCAAATGGGTTGAATACTTATGCAACTGAGAATATTTTAATTTTTTTGAAAATCTAACTTACTTACATAATATCAGTGTTTTTTTTTGTTCTTTTTTTTTTAGATTTCTCAGTTTAGATTAGATAGTGTAGAATCTAAATATAAAGTCTCATTTGAAAGTTTCATGATTGCAAGTTCAGACGGCAACAAAATATGGAAACTTTGTAGGGGTTGAATACTTTTGCATTGTATATTTCATTGAGCTTCAACTGTAATTTGTTTTATTATTTACATTAAAAGAATACACGTAACTTTGAGAATTTTGGAAACAACTTGCCAATTGAGAATTATTTCTGGAGGTTTAATGTTGTTAAACATTTATTTTTCGTGTATCTCTTCTAATCAGAGTCCCTGTGTTCCCAGTGGCTCAGCGGTAACTTTGTAGGCTTACAACGCTAAAAATATGTTTTAGATATCCGTGGTGGGCAAAGCACAGGTAGCCCATTATGTAACTTTTCTCTTAACAGCAACCACACCACAGAGCCCCTGATAGCTCAGCGGTAAAGCTCGAGATCTTATCAAACTAAATTAGGAGTTTCGTTCTTACGGTGGGCACAGCACAGGTAGCCTATCGTACAGCTTTACACTTAAATGCAGCAACAATTTTACGGTGGGCACAGCACAGTTAGCCCATCGTACAGCTTTGCACTTAAAATACAGCAAAAATTTTTCTTCTCTCTCTCTCTCTCTCAAATAGCGCAACGTTTTGGTCTGACTCGTATGTATTTCGCGTTAATTTTACGTATTTCTCGTATGTACTTGTAGGAACTACCGATCAATATTAGGATTAACAATACAGATCAAGTTATTCTATAGACTAATGACAATGTTTTTGAAACGATTGAAGCCGCTTCCCTACCTCACTCCCCTTCCAGTTATTTTTTCATGAAAACCTAGACCTTGTTTGCCTTGGATCGAAGCGTCACTGAGTGGTTCAAGTAACCTGTCTTGTTTTAAACAACAAAATTCAGAGTAACTCTCTCCCTCTGAACTATAGTAGCTACGTGTGTTATTACTGAGATGTTTATATGGCGCATCTTGTACGTGTCGTATTGTACGATTACGCCTACTTTAGAGTCCATCAGAGTGGTACGTGTGTCTCATGCTTGAATGTAGGCTAATATTCTAGATGGTCTCTCTTGTTCCAGGTTTTCTAGACCCAATGGTTTTATGTTTGAAACACAAATCGTAAATGTTACTAACAAGACGATAAACCTATTATATAACCTAATCCGCTGAGCCAGCATTTCTTGAAATGTTACAACGAATAACACCCAGATTAACGTCAGCCAGAAAATAGTTAATTAATTTACCTTTAACCAAAGAGTTACTAATGGCGGTCTATATCGTTTTTCGGATCTATTTTAACACAGAACTGATTGTAACTTTCAGTTACAGCCAATAACACAAGAGTCGCACCACAAATGTAAACATAAGTATCCGTCAATACTGTAATTAATTCCACTAATTACTGTTTGGATTCTCTCCGTATCGTACATAGAAAATAATTGTTTTAACAACAAGTTTGGTCAGTTCTTTACGCTGAGTGTCGTGAAGGGTAAAAAGACAAAATTAAAACGCAGTGTGTGAACCCAATTAGTACTGAACAGTATGTAATGAAATTGGTCATTTGAGGCTTACGTTGATTAAACTCAAATAAATGATAGAAGATTCTGTAAACGCTCACAATCTGGTGTTCTGTCTCTATTATATTAATATAATATTTCTTTAGTTACAGCACAGTAGCATTGGATCTGTTCAAATCTGTCGGTCTTGCAAAAAGGCACTTACAAAAAAGGGCAGGG